AAAGATTCTCAAATCTATTAATATATTTCTAGTTCAGATCTCTCTCCTGATTTTCAAACAATTATATACAACTATCTGTGGATATAGATATCTTGCTGGCCTCCAAATTCAATATTTCCCAAATTAAACTTATCCTGTCTCTACTCCTTCAAACTTGCTTTTCCTTCAGAGTTCCTATCCTAGTGAGGCCCAGCTTTTCTCCCAGTTGCTCAAGCCAGAAAGCTGGGCATCATTTTTGACTACTTCTTCAACCTCGCCTCTCATAACCAATGAAGTACCAAGGTAGTTGTTGATTCTACCTCTGAAAAATATTTTAAACCTAGTAACTTCTCTTCATTGCTATTGCCACTACCCTACACTAGGCCATCATTCTGCTTGGGTTATTGCAAAAACCACCTAATGAGTCTCTATGTTTCTATTTTATCATCCTCTAATCCCTTCTCTACATTGCAGCCAGAGTGAACTTTATAAAATGCAACTGTAATCAGGTCACTGATTAAAGCCCTTCAGTGGCTTTCCAATATTTTCAGGATAAAATCTAAATCCTTAAGACAGCAAAAACGTCTGCATGATCTAGCTCCTACTTACCTCTTCAGCCTCATCTCTCTCTACTCCTCTACTTGTAATTGAACTCTAGATATACTGTATTACTTCAGTTCCTTTAAATCTCTCTCTCTCTCTCTCCCCCCCCACCCTTCCTTTCCCATTTCTCTCTATTTCTCTCCCTTTCTCTATCATCTCTGGACCTTTGCATAATCTCTATGTCTGGAATATTTTTCTATCCCTCCCCACCACCATTCTGGTGCCTGCCCTTCCATATATACTTGGCTTATACTTCAGGTCTCAGTCACATCTATTAGTAATCCTTTCTTGACCCATCAAATGTGGATTGAGTACATTTTCTATCTAAACTCAAGTATCTTACACTTCTTTCACAGAATCATTCATCACGCTATATTGAAAAGGCCTGTTTACTTATTTGTATCTTTCACTTGACTATAAATTCTATGAGGATTGGGAATAAAACTATTGTATGCATCACTATATCTTAGAAATTTGGCATATTCTAGGTGCTCAATGAATATGGAAAGACAGCAGGAAGAATATGGAAGCCAAAAAGGAAGGAAAGAAGAAAGAAAGGAAGGAAAGAAGGAAGGAAGAAAGGAAAGGGAGGGAGGATGGATGGAAGGAAGGAAGGAAGGAAGAGAGGGAGGGAGGGAGAGAGAAAGGGAAAACTTGTGCTAGTAAAAAATTATCTCAGAGAAGGTGGTGATCATTTCAAACCTCATGCCTCGCCCTGTTTCTCAACATTTCCTTTGTTTTGGCCTCATGACTTAGAATCTTTATTCTTATAAAAGCCCTAGAAAAGGGCAATTCTAGATATGATGACTTAGGCTTAAGATAAGTCTGCTGGTGTCTAGCCTATCAAATAGCAGTAACTCTCATTCCTTCATCACTTGGAAGGAAGGCCCTTGGTCAGTACTCATCTAGGTGCAAGAACCAAAATCAACTTCAGATTTTCCAGCCAGTCCAGCGCAGATGAAGCCAGGAAAGGGCAATAGGGTCTAGTTTCAGTTGCTGAACCAAGCAAAGCAAAATATCCCTCTCCTTTTCCCTCTTCTCTGGTTTAAAAAAAAAAAAAAAATGAAGTCTAATGAGGGAGGGGCTGCATAGCTATGTTCTAAAAGTAGATTAACAGATTGATTATTCAATGATGATCATATTCCTAGTCAAGCCCACAAGTAATTCTAAAGTACACTGTGGATATTTAACTAATTGATACATAGAACAAAGAATACTTATATACATTTAATTACATAACAAAGGGACAAATGTTATTAAAACTAACCTTCAGACGTTTAACTGGAGGAAGAGCTGAAACAGCATTCCTGTTTCTTAAATCAGATAAATATGAAGAAATTTTTGGCTCTTTAATTTCTGATTTTTGTGCAACTCCAATTTTACCTATAAAAAGAAATTTTAGATCCTGTAGGTTAAACTTTAGGTATTGCTCATATAAAGCCAAATTTCTTCAAAATTTCAAATCTAATATTTACTTTTTTTCACATTGCCCACAAAAGAAAATTATTTGAGAGTTATAA